TATAAAATGGGGTTATTTCCCTCATTTAGTAACTCTTTTAATTTTCATTAAGCGTTACAAAATTAAATTAATTAAATAAAGGTGCAGATTTCCAGGCATTCAAACATCTTTTTGAATGTGGGAAATGATGTGAGGTCACCATCACATTCCCAGGATCCAGCAGGCCCTACCAGGATTTTCCAAACTGATCTCCTAAGCAACCAAAAGAGAATTTAAAAGGTAAAATTAAAATTAAATTAATCTGGGACAGCGGAAGGTGTCCCTGCCCATGGAATGGGGTGATCTTTAAGGTCCCTTCCAACCCAAACTGTTCCACAATTCCCACTTTTCCCACCTGAAAGAGGAAGGGTTTTGTGAGGATAAATGGAAGGAATTCTGCAAACAAAAACAGCTCCATGCTCCAGGATGGATGTGGAGAACACCCAGAGCAGGATGGGATTGGGAACGGGGACAACAGAACCCCACAACTGCTCGGGAGGGAAAAAACGCTGGAAACTGCAGGATGTCTGAGTTGTATCTGATATTGGCCTAATTTCACTGGAAAAATTCTAATAAAACAGGGGTTACCGGGAAGTGAGAGGTGCCTGCTCTGCTCCATAACCTCTGATGGGAAAATCCCAGAATTATCAGGGTTGGAAAAGCCCTTTGGGATCACCCAGTGCCACGCCAAAGCCTGTCCCCAAGGGCCACATCCAGACTCCTCCTAAGCATTTTGGATCTGGGTGCCACAGGAGCAGCTGATCTGCTGGAACGTCTCTGCTCTCCAGAGGGATCCCAACAGACTGAACCCAAAATGTTCACAGCTGGAAAAACTAAACCTGCCTGCAAATATTCCAAAAATTCCATGGCTGGAGCTCAGAGACCCTCATGGGGTGCACTGTCCTTAATTCCTGATGGAGAGGGATGCCTGGGATGGTCCTTTGGGGCTAAAGGAAAACCCCAGAATCCCAAAATCACTGAGGGGGGAAGAGACTTCATGGTCATCACCCCAAAGCTGTCCCCRAGGGCCACATCCAGACTGCTCCTGAGCACTCCCAGAGACAGGGACTGCACCCCCTCCCTGGGCAGCTCATTCCAAGGCCTGACCACTCTGACAGGGAATTTTCTTTGCCAATCTCCACCCTGAGCCTCCCCTGGTGCAATTTGAGGCCATTTCCTTGCCCACTTGGGCACCCCTGRGCTCATCCCCAAAAATCCAGGAACAGAACATTCCTCAGGCAGTGGAATTCCATTGCCAGTGACAGAAACCCCCAATAAGAAGAATTCCAAAGAGCTGCAATTGCTTCAGGAATGCACTGGAGAGGTGTGCAAGAATAAATGGAAATTAATTTAATTATAGGAGACACTTGATGCAGCTTGAAAGCAAATTAATGCAAGGACCTTCAAAATGCAGCTTCCTGTCATAGGAAGAGGATCAACAGCTCCTGCTGGGAATGGTTTGGCTCCTGACAATGAGGATCAAATGGAAAACTAAAACTGAACTTCTAAATAGGAAAAATAAAAGAGGAAAAGTGGGGAAAAAAAGGGGAAAAAGTGCATTGGAGGAAACCTACAAAAACTGGCTGATGGAGACAGGAGGATCCAGGCATTTCCATCTCAGCCCTGTCAGAGCTCCCAGGCAGGGCCAGCGCTTCCAAAGATATCACAAACAAATGGGATCTGTTTGTCTGAACCCAGGGAAARTCTTCATCTTTGCCTAATTTTGCCCAAACCACTCCAGCCTGGAGAAGCCAGCAGCCTTCCCAAAAATCCAGGAGGCTCCCAACCAGCCCTCGGGAGGCATTTCCAAACGAGGCACACAAAAAGAGCAGAAAACTCATTAGAGTTAATTGGCCACCTGGAAAATCTTCTCTCCACCAAGAGCTGCTTTTTCATTCTTTTCCAAGGAATGTTTGTCAGGAATTTTGCAGGAGAGCTCTGCAGTGAGCTGTGGTTTTTGGAGCTGGATAGAATCATTGAGTTGGAGTGAAATCAGCAGGGAAAGCAGAGAGAGCACAGGTTCTCCTCCAGATCYGAGGAAAAATCAATGAGATGGAAATAAAACCTGAACTCACAGAAAGGAGGGGGCAGCCGGGGGGGTCGGGCTCTGCTCCAGGGAACAGGGACAGGAGGAGAGGGAACGGCCTCAGGCTGGGCCAGGGGAAGCTCAGGGTGGACACCAGGAGGAATTTGCCCATGGAAAGGGTGCTCAGGCCTTGGCAGGGGCTGCCCAGGGAGCTTTGGAGTCCCCATCCCTGGAGGTGTCCCAGGAAGGGCTGGAGGTGGCACTGAGTGCTCTGGGCTGGGGACAAGGTGGGCATCGGGCACAGATGGCATTCCATGGGCTGGGAGGGCTTTTCCACCCTCAGGGATTTTGGGATTTGTGCAAACAAAGCTCTGCACGTGTGTGCAAGAACGAGGCACCTTGGTGAACCCCTGCACTCGATTTCATCCTCCAAAAAATCCCTCAGCAAATTCTTTTGGTCGAACCCTCTGGCCCGGGACTCCAGCTGGTCCSGGTGGTTTGGCCACACTTCCCACTGAGAGCAGCCACCGCATTTCTGTGGATTCTCACATGAGGACAGCGCTATTGTCCTTCCTCAAATGCCAGCTTGGGGACTGGGCAATTCCCCCCAGAATAACCCCGGGAGGGGGCTCGTTCTCCTCACACTGCAATTTAGGAGGGCTTTCAGACCACAGCTGTTTTTAGAGCTCCCCAAGGTCAGCAGGAATGCGCCAGGCAGCAGGGATGGGTTCGGATGCTGGGATTTACAGCCTCTGATTACTCAGAGTCAGCCGAGGCTGAGGAGCAGAAAATCCTATACAGGGASAGATTTGAGTTTCTCAGCCGTGATTCACCCTCCCAGCACGGAGAAATCAGGGGAAAACAGCACCTGAAGGGATCCAGGAGAGCTGGAGAGGGACTGGGGACAAGGGCTGGAGGGACAGGAGCCAGGGAATGGCTTCCCAGTGCCAGAGGGCAGGGCCAGATGGGATATTGGGCAGGAATTGTTCCCTGGGAGGGTGGGSAGGCCCTGGCACAGGGTGCCCAGAGAAGCTGTGGCTGCCCCTGGATCCCTTTGAGTGCCCAAGGCCAGGCTGGACATTGGGGCTGGGAGCAGCCTGGGACAGTGRGAGGTGTCCCTGCCATGGAAGGGGTGGCATTGGGTGGGATTTAAGGTCCTTTCACCCCAAATCATCCCAGGATTCCATGGTTCTGTAATTCCAGGGGATCAGTCCCAGCCCCAGGAATTGTGTCCTATCCCAAAGCAGAGCTCCACAGCCCAGAGTGGGAACCTTCACCCTCAGAGGGCACAAACAGAACCACCACAGGCATCACCTGGAGCAGAGCTGGGAACAGCACAGCTCTGAGTGYAAATAAATTAAATCAACAACAACAAATGAACAGCACAGCTCTGAGGGCAAAGAAATCAACCTTGTGACCAGAGAAATTAAATTATTCCAAAAATGCTCTTAATAAATCTGTTTTAACACATTTTGTTGTATTTCCAGTGGTGCCAGTGACTGGACAAGGAGCAGTGGCCATGAATTAAAAAAAATAAATTCCACCTCAACCTGAGGAAAAATGTCTTTCCATGGAGCAGTTCTCCAGGGAGGTGATGGATTCTTCCTCTCTGGACACATCCCAAACCCACCCAGACGTGTTCCTGTGTCACTGCCCCAGGCAGGGAGTGGGACTGGGGGATCTCAGAAGTCCCTTCCAACTCTGGTAATTCTGGGATTTTGGGATTCTCAGCTCTTGGAGCGCACCCTGGGCACCAAAAAGAACCTCATGGCACCCAGAGCACCCAGAGCCACAGGCACTCCCTACCAGGGCATGGGGACAGAACCAGAAAAAAGGGAAAACCTGCGGGCTGGGGTGAAAACAGGTCAATAGGGCAGAAAAAGAAGGGAAAATCATGGAATCCTGGAATTGTTTGGGTTGGAGGGGACCTTAAACTCAGCCCATCCTAAAATATCCACTGTCCCAGGCTGCTCCAGCCCCAGTGTCCAGCCTGGTCTTGGACACTGTCAGGGCTGAGGAGCTGAGAGTGACCCAGCCCTGCCCATGTCCTGCACAACAAACATAGCTTTGGGCTCTGCAATTTCCCCAAAATCTCCTTTCCAGCCCCAGATTCTGCAGCTTTGCCTTCCTGGTGCTCATCCTGCTTCTCCTGGCACAATCCCAGCTCCCCCAGTGCAGCTGGGAGGAATCTGAGYAGCCCCAGGTGCTCCAGGGCACTTTTGCTTTTGTTTTTCTTCCCCTCTGTGCTTTGTGAAGCTCTCCTGGAATTGTTTTTCCCCACTACAGAGCAGGGAATTGCAGGGATTATCAAGGCAAACCCTCTGCTCTTCCCAGTGGCTGGGAATATCCCACCCYGCCTCAGAGAGAGAACCTTGGAGGATCCTTCCTCCCGTGCCAGGAAAAAAAGAAATTTCAGAGAAAAACATAGGAAAAATAGGAAAAAATAAATCACCAGGAAAATACCCACAAACAAACAAAAAACCCCACAAAACTACACACATTTATGTCGCCTAAAGAAAGATTTGAGAAAGAAAATTCAATTATTTTTTCTGATGCATTAAAAAAAAAGATATTCAGAAGAAATTGTTTCTTTTCCTCCCCAAAATTCYACATCCTAGGAAAAAAGGAGCACAGAACCCCCTCAGGAATGACCCAACCACCAGATTTATATCAGAGAGCAAGAGGTCTTTACCTATAACAACAACATCACTGATTTTCCTCCTGTTTTCAACAAAAGACAGACAAAAAAAGACACATGAACACTTCTGTCCTGATGTTCTCYCCAGTCTGAAATGTCCCCTTGATGGCAAAACAAAGCTTCTTTTATTCCCTGCTCCTACAAAAGCTTGGGGAGTCTCTAATTCCCACCTGGAAGTCTGCGGCCTCCCCTAAGGATGATTTTTTACCTTTGCTTTGAACATAATTTACTTTCCAGGATCCTGGGGTGGCTTTTAGCAGTGAAAGTTTTTTTTTTCCCTCAAACCTTTTCTGTTAAAGAATAAAATAAAGTCAGGTTTTATTTTTAACCACTTTTATTGCCTTGTTTTGCCCCCAAAACAAGCCTCCATCAAATCACATCCTCTATTTCTATATTTACACTGCAGACTTCCTAATCTCTTCTGTAAATATCCATATTCTGGAGTAATCTCTGGAAAAAAAAATCTATTTATAATATCCTGCTGCTGGAGAAATCTTCATTATTGGTGTAACGCTCAGAGAGAAAAGCAAATCAATTTGCAGAGTTGTCAAATAGCAAGATAAGCACCCAGATTAAAACTACCCCAATTATTTCAGACAAAAAGATTTGTTACGAGGATGAAGATGCTGTGATAGACCACACACATCCCACGGCCCACGGGGATTCTGTTTTGGGGCAGACGGCAATTATCACAATTCCTTTCCAAAGCAGCGATAAAAAATGGGTTAAGAAGTTTCCAAAGTTTGGGATTTTCGGTTTTTCCTGGCTGTGAGTTTTTCTTCAGGGCTGACAGGGACAATRCCGCCGCATTCTTCTGCCCTGGGTRTGGGGTGTTTGATGAAATTCCTCCTGATGACATCGATGTCCCGGCCCAGATGCTCCATCATGGGGGCCACCAGGGATGGRGGGGCCTCCAAGTCGATCAGGAAATACCTGCAAGGACAAACACACAAAATAAACCCAAATACCTACGCTGGAGCAGCTGCAGCTCAATTCAGGCATCTCTTGAATGAGAATTCCGGGGTTTTTTTCTGCTCCTGGGGGATTTTTTAAATGGGAGTTTTGAAGTTTTTTCTTGTGTTTCGGTACCTGGATTGTCTGAAATAAGAGCTCGGTATTAGGTGGATTTCAGTGAAAAGTTCARTTGAACTCTGCTGGAATCRTGGAATACCCTGAGMTGGAAGGGACCCCCAGGGATCACCCAGGCCCTGCCCAGACCCCCCAGCAATTCACCCTGTCCTTGGAATGCTGTCCCAGCACTCCTGGAGCTCTTCCAGCACAAGTTATGCTTGTTCCCCTTCCATTCGTTCTCACACCTCAATTTGGACAATTTTTAAGACAAGGTGGGATGGCAGGAGCAGCTGCTCTCCCAAACTCCTAAAGCATTTTTGGGGAACAGGTGAGAAACATCTCAAGCTCATTGAAACAGAAATTTCTTTCTGCAAAGCTCTGCCTCGGAGCTGAACAGAAATGTGAAAAATGAGATTAAAAAGAAAGCAAAGAGATGGATTTATCCCAAATCAGGCTTGTCTTGGATGAGAACAGGGCTTAAACCTTCAATCTGCTGGGGCCTGAGAGCATCCAGCACTGCTGCCCTTGGTGGGACTGAACCAGGGAATGTCCTGGGTGGGAATAAACCCCCAGGGTCACCCAGTGCCACCCCC